CACCGTCCTGTGGCACCGACACCGTCCTGAGGCACCGACACCGTCCTGTGGCACCGACACCGTCCTGAGGCACCGACACCGTCCTGTGGCACCGACACCGTCCTGTCCCCGTTCCCGGCCCCTCGCCCGCGGGCACCGTCCCGTCCCCGGCTCCTCAGCAGCCCTGGGCTGTACCCGGGCCCCCTCAGCCCCCCAGGCCCCCTCAGGTACCGCCTGTGCGGGGCCGATGCCACCCCAGGGTGAACCCTCTGTTCCCCTGGGATTGGCGGGATGTGGCTTGTGACTAAGGCTCCTAAAAAAAAACATATTTCTTGTTTTAAAACTATTAATTAAGCTATTAAAACTGCTAATTTAGCAGTTCAGATGACACAGAAACTCAGAGGAAGGGAATGCAAGTGAGAAAAAAATCACAAACCCCAGATTTTTTGAGAGTTAATAGCACTTTAGACAAAACGGGTAAGAACTACTCTGTGTCATGAACCTGCAGGTCAAGGTTCAAGGAACAAGGTTTTCAATCTCAGGGAACTAATCTCAAACTGGTTCTGTAAAGTCATTCTGAACTCCTAGGCACAGCACTTTGCAGCTCAAAATGGCACATTCTGTCTAAAAATATGTTCCAGAGAAAGGAAATCGATTATTAGCAATAGGATTCAACCTCAAAAGTATAAGAAAATACATCAAGACCACATGAATATGATCAGGGTAAGACATATACTGCTTTAAACAGTGCACAAATATACTGTGGAGCTTGGTGCAAGAGGGTGTTACAGAACCACAAATACTTGAGGGAAAAAAAGTAAGTAAGCTGACAAAGGACAGGTCCGTCACTGTTCCTCTGGTTCTGTTACAGCCAGGCTTGCAAGCTCCCTCTTGCTGCAGTTGAGGTCAATTCACAGAGCTTTGCTAGGATCTCCTTTGACTTTATAGTGGAGATCACCTCACCCAAATAATGAAGTGTCAAATGCATTTTTGGCTTGTTACACTGTATGTGATAAACCACAGAGTCCAGTCCAAGCAGCACAAGAGGATTTCTCACCTTTTCTCACACTGTAAGAGACAAATGGCACACCTGGACCCCATTATGTACATGCCTACCTTTCTTGCAAGCAGTTTTTAACACCAAAGATTCAAAGGATGAGTCAGACCCTTATGCCACAAAGGCCAAAGCTCAGGCCTGCAGCAGCTGTTAAACACAATGGTCTGGATCAGGTTTGACTGGGGAAGGTGACAGTGCTGGAAAAGCAGCTCAGAAATGCTCGGGAGGTTCAGCAGTGGAAGGTCTCTCCTTGTGCTCTTCCATAAGCAGACCCAGTAATTGCCATGATGGATCAGTGCACACTGGGAGCAGTGGCAGTTCTTGCACAAGGGCTGTTAAATACCTTGTTAATAGTTGCAGTATTGTCCCAACATATCTGAGCATAAAAGTTCTTCACCAATTAATTGATTTCTGCATGTTCTAATATTTGAAGTAGAGGAGAGAGTTTTAATAAAATATTACTGGATTCTCATTTTGTGTCTATTTAGCCTCAGACAAGCTAATTGCTCTTTAGGTAAACTATAGAAACCACATAAATTACATTTTATATTCAATTTATTTGTTCCCTTGTTTTGTGCAGTGTTGGCTGTTCAAAGCCATTCCCGTCCTAAGGAAGTGACATGTCAGAAAATTGTGAATAGAGCTCCTGCTGCCATTCTATTAGGTAATAAATTTTCATTTGTGGTTTTTTTTAAAGTGAAGTTTCAAAAGACTTTATCTTCTGTATATGCAAAGTGCAGCTGAACCACTACAGTTTGAGCAAAAGTACTGGCTGACCAGTGGCAGTTCATGCTCTTAGGGCATGTAAGTTTAAGAACAATTGTGCAAATCAATGGTATTACATTTTCTCTGTAACAATTATACAATACAGCCAGGATGATATATCCATTTTCTACTTCACTTTTCATGATGGTCATAATTTCTGCACAGCTAAAAAACCAAAGAAAAGTTAATCACAACTATAAAGGGTGTTGAAAACCACAAGAAAATAGCTTGTGTGTGGTTAAATAATATCCTGGTTGACTAAAGTGTTTACCTGAAGAACTTAAAGAACTCTGTGAATTTTTAAAATTGTCTTAAAATTTGAGGAAATGGCCTCAGGCTGTGCCAGGGGAGGGTTAGGTTGGATATTAGGAAAAATTTCTTCACCAAAGGGTTATCAAGCCTTGGAAGAGGCTGCCCAGGGCAGTGGCAGAGTCCCCATCCCTGGAGGCACTCAAAAGACCTGTAGATGTGGCTCTTGGGACATGGTTTAGTGGTGGCCTGAGCAGGGTGAAAGGTTGGACTCCATGATCTTAAAGGTCCTTTCCAACCTAAATGATTCTGTGCTTTCCTAGCAAACACAGGGGATCAAAAATTGCTCCTGAAGTAATGGGGTTTGACCTGCAAAAGAACCCCAGCTAGCCACATTTGTGTCAGATACCCAGTTTCAGTAAATCCTACATACATTTCAGAAAACAAAAGGAAAATGGAATGGAACTAAGAGTGGAAAACCTGTGAAGGTGGCAGCTTTAATATATATTTCTTGAAAATAAAGATACGTATTTTTGCACCTCTGTTAACAGTCTGCCTGAGCCTCCTTGCTCCTTAGAAATGACAGTAATGCTCTGTCTGTTGGCAGATACCATTCCTTGTGTGTTCTCAGTGGAAAAGGTAAACAGTCCAAAATGTGGGGGGGGGGGGGGGAAGGAAACCACCCCAAAAAACCCTCATACACAGTTACATGACGTAGGAGTTCTGTATCCAGGAGAACAGACACAGGACAAACAGAAATATTGGTGTTTGCTTACATTTCATCGAATACACAGATAAGGTTCATTCTCCCTAGGGAAAAACCCCCTGCATTCTACTCATTTTTTCTAAATACCAGCATTGAATAGACATGACTGGTTTGATAAATTTGAATAGAATCCTTAGTTTTACTCAGCTGAAAGTCATCAAAAACTTGTTCTGGTTGATGTGTGGAGGCTCCTTGTATATTATTGTAGCACTTGGTTGAATAAGAGGATTCGATGATTCCATCACTGGATACTAATTTACTAAATAGAAATCATAGGTACAACACTATAACACTGTGGGTTTGCTATTTATGTGGCAAGATTTGATCACACCTCTTAGGGGAAACCTCTGCCAAAAACTGAAACCTAAAAAAAGACAGGAAATCTGCACTGGAAGTATCAGTTAAAGCTTCAGTTGTATGAACAGAATTCCAGACTGCAACAGCAAATACTTGTTTAGTGTTGCCTGTTGCACCATCTTAGATGCATAAATAAATCCCAGTCACAGCAGTCCTAGTGCCAGTCTGGGGTGGGGACATGGGCTGGTGGCTCAGTAGCCAAGCTTTCTTCTCCTGTTTGACTGCTTTAACATTATAAACTCTCCAGCCACCTGAGTACTGCCAAGGGAACAGATGGCAAGTTTTACCCACTGTGCCTCCCTCAACAGAAGGGGGAAATCAGCCAGGTAATGTTGCATCAACTCTCATCACCAAGTCTACAGAGGGGAGAGGACTTTGGGATGAGTTCCATCAGGCCAAGGGCCACGTTTGGACAACTTCTGAAAACCTCCAAAATGTGGTTGTGCCACAGCCTCTCTGAGCAGCCAGTTCCTTATTGACTCTGATTAGGGGGGGTATTTTGTTGTCTCCAGCTATCAAGGATTTCCCTTCCTGCAACTTTTGATTGCTACAGTCTTGGAGGTAACTATATATTTAAGGCACATATTTTTGGACCTGACAGATGGAAGAGATCAGTATGCATGATTTTGCCTTTCCTAAAGCAAAGTTTAGTATTTGCAGAAATAATAGTATTTTATATGGGGTTTAATCTGATTTAAAAATTTTATAGTAACTTCATTTTTCACTGTTTTTAAGCTTGTTCCTAAGTAATACATAGGAGATTTCAGTGCTGAATGCACTTGTAGAAAATAAGCAAAACCAAAAGGAGTTTAAGCAGTTATGTCAAATACTCAAATAAACTCCCACATTACATTACTAGAACAATAGTTTAAATAACTGCTATTACTTAGAAAACTGCTAAGTAACAATAAGATAATTCTCAGAAAGTTTTGCAACACAATAACATTAGCAGTAAAACCAACAGATTAAGATATATTAAGATGTCTGACACACACAAAAAATGCCAATACACAGCAATCTGCTTTCCCTTTTCCCTGCTGGCAGCTGGAGAGTCTCAGCTCCCAGAGGAGAAGAAGTGACATCTGCAAAAAGCTCTGACACTCTTTCACTGTGTGTCCTCTCTCTGATTTAACAATAAAGCAGAAAAGACTTGCCATCTACAAATATGTAAGAACTAAGTGACGTGCAAATGGAAGCCCCTCTTCTTCATCAAAATAACCTCAATCATCTACAGAAACCCCAGTTTTGTTTCTCAGGGTAATTTTAAGCCAAATATGTTGTCTAAATCCTGACACAATGATTACATTTTTCCCCCTGTAAAAATGCCACATCTGTTTCTAAATAAATAAATAAATGTGCAACCTTTCCCATTATCCTCCAACCCTGCATGAAATTATCCTCTCTGGCTACTATGAACAATTTCTTAGAGAAATCTACATGGAAAAAAAAAACAAACCCACACAAATTCCCACTGACTGTTCTTTGTTAAAAGCCTAGACCCAAAGCTTTTTATAGCTTTCATGTGATTAGAAAAAACAAGGACAGCACAGTGTAGATACCACATGGTGAGAAATAATGCTGTATCCATGGATGAGGATAACTCCATAGACAATTGGACTATGCCAGCTGGTTTTCAAGGGAGTACTGCACCTTATCTGCACCTAAGAGATTTATTAATTAGAATCTGCATTTCTGCATGAAATCTCTATGCCAGGAGGCTTAGTCTGTCTTATCAGGATTGATCACATCCATCTCATACCAGCTGAGATTTGGAATATAAATTACATTGCTGTATTTTATCCTCAGTAAAAGAATCTTTGAAAAACATCTCAGTTCTATCCTAAGTAGAATCTAACTTGATTTTTCATGAGGGCTTTATTTGACAGTGTTTCTGAGAATCACAGCTTTCTGATTCAGTGATGTACTGTGAAGATGAAAGAGCCACTAACTACATAAGAAAATTAGTTGAAATAAAAATGTGCTTATTTTAATGAATGCGTTGCCTTTAATTGGGGAAGGAAGCAATAAAAGTCTAGTCTGGAGCAAACACATGTGATTTTAAATTACAAGTGTAATTTCATTCACTGGATAAGAACTGGAACTTAGTAATTGTGAAAGCATTCATAAACATCTATTAATCCAAAGCCAAGCCATTTCATTTCCTAAAAATTTCATTTCTTTGCACTTGGACATTGGAACAGTCCTCCAGCAAAACCCACTGAGACATAAATGATAGAACTGTTAGAGATACGTTTTCTGAGGGGCTTTTCTGGAAAAGTGATGACTGATATTGAAGAAATGGGATGCTGAAAGGTAGCACAATCACTTATTTATTGCCAGCCACAGTTTGATTTGGAAATAGTTAAGAACAGCAGGAGGTTGCACAGTTCCTGTTTACTAACAGATGGAGTGAATTCCCAGATGTGGAGGTCAGTCTTTAGCACAGTAAGGAAAAATTCCAAATGTCCTACTTACTGTGAGCTTAAAAAAAAAAAAAAAAAAGAGTTTCTTCCTTCTCATGGCAATCCCTCACTCCAGACCTCACTGAACTACACAGTGCTGCTTGTAGTTAAAATAATAATGAAAAATGGAACAGGAGGTGCAAAACGTCACAGGAAAATCTCTGAAAAAAAAGATCTCTGAATAAAGGAGGGCTACCTGCTCCAAAGATAAATGGTAAACAGCAGGTATTATTCCAAAGAGCTGTTGTCTTCAGGTGTTGTCTTCAGGTTCATACTCTCATGGCAATGTATGTACATTACAGAACAAAACCACCACCAGGTGGGACTCTTTGGTCTCCTCTGTAAGTCTAAAATTATAAACTCTGTTACAAAGTTAACGTGTGTTAAAAATTACTCCCAGCACTTCCTGAGAAACAGTATTCTTGTCAGCAATTTTTTGGCTCAAACCTCTTGGTGCTTATCAAAAAGCACAAGAGGAAAAAAACCCCAACCATTAATTGGAATCGTGAGAAGGGGAGAAACCAAACACAATGTATAAACTTTTATACTTTCCCATTATCCAAATAAACAAACAAAGCCAAGAAAAGCCCGTTTCTTGTATGGTTCTGAATTGTCAGTGGCAGCTGAGCTTTGCAGCATTTGCAACACTTCACAAAACAGCTTTTAGGACACATAAAATTGTCTGTAGTATAATGTCTGGAGAGCTAATGAGTCCTGTAAAGTAGGACTGTTTATATCTGGATGGCATGAACTTGATAGCCACGGTCACAATATTATCAGAGCTAAAGGTACAATAGGGAAATACCTAAAATAATATTCAAGGGATCTCAATTTGTCATAAACTATAGTACAGCCTGAAATGATTGCCTTGTGTGGCTCTGCTGCTTCCACTGGAAACCCCACATTTACCTTCTGTGCGTATTTCATCACATGTAATGTAGGAAAACATCAAATTTTGGAAATTCTGACTTTTTCTTAATTTGTTGCACAGTAGGAATTACACTTATCACACAGAAATTTATGTGCAGTGTATAGTTAACATTCTAAAAGGCTTTTCAAAAATCAGCAGAAAAGAAGTGATTGCTACGGTTCTTTGTCAGCAATAATCCAATTACCTTCACAAAAAAGCCTTAGAGATGAATGCAATACTGAACTGCTCTTCCTTCCACACCCACCATTGTAATTAGATTTGTAACAGTTCCTTTCCCTCTGTCCCAGGCTGCAAGGACCCACCTTTCCCTGAGGGAGAGTTTTTCTCCTTGCACCCAGGAGTGTGCTGACATCACCTCTGTGCAGTTCAAGAGAGGTGAGAAGGCTGCTGGATTTGCTAAAGGAAGGTTTTTCCCACAGGAATGGAGCAGGAAAAGAGCAACGATTCCTAATTGGTGAACATTATAGTCACCCTAAGGGAAGAGCTGCTATTAAACACTGGGAGCAACAGCAAAGAGTCAGATGTGATAATACAGTTCATAGTCAGACTGCTGAGTGGTTAAAGAGGTTACTGGAGGATTTTGCTTTTCCACACACAGTTCAGTTCAGCAAAGCTGTTTGTAATACAATATATTGATTGTATCCCTTTTTGTAACGATGCAAAGAACTTCTTTAATCCTATTATTATGTTCACTAATCAAATAGAAATTGAAACTGAGGTACCTGTTTGTTAGAAGTTCCCAAAAAATTTCAAAAACGTAGTTTGTTATGACTTGTTCCTGAAAATAATCTGAGCCTAGCCATTATGACAGGCTTTAAAAAAGACTGTTTAATTGAAAGCTTGTCTGTTCTTGAAGGCAGAGGGGATTTGTAGACATATCAAGAAGATTCTGCATTTGATATTTTTCAGTGTATAAAGGGGCACAATTTCACCCAAATGTCTTCAAAAATCTGCAAGCAGAAGCCAACACCAAAAAATAAAAAAAAAAACCAACCCAAAGTGTTAGTTGCACAAGTTACACAACATAATAAATTCTCAGGTCATTCTGCATGAAAAGGGGAGGGATGTGACCTGATAGCCCATATTTCTGTGTGTTGATCTGGTTCTAAAGGGCAAGAAAGGACGGGTCAGCAAGAGGGAAAGAGTGGGGTAGGGAAAAAAAGGAAAAAGGAGAGATTTCCATGCAAGGAAAAGGAAGGTTTCCCTATCAGTTGTTCCTGGTGGTTGAACCTTTGTCAGTAAAAGCAAGACAGAGTTAGAAGCCTGCAGAAAATGCCAACCTCAGTCTAGATTGTAGCAGCTTGTTACATCAGCCATTTCAACAAGTTGGGACACAGGTGCAACACAGGAGGAATCCTAAAATAAATTATAACACTATTAGTACCAATAGTGTATTTGACAGGTTTATTTTTGTGTTTCTTCTGTTATGGCAAATTCATGCTTTTTAATGCTAATATGTTTTTTTTCTTTACCCTTAGCACTGAAGCTGACCCAGGGTTCCTCTTGCACACTGCTGGAGTTCTTCAAGAGACACAAAATGCACAATTCAAAGCTGAACTCGTGCAGCCTGTGAGTGTCCCCAGAGGGTCACCATTCTCCAGACCCTGCAAGGCCATACTTAAGAGCAGGTAAGCTGCTACTTCTGGAGACACATCTTTCTACACACCTCAGCAAGAGTGCCAAGACAGCCTGAGGGTTCCTGTAACCTCTCATTACAGAAAAATATTTTTATATTCCCACTTAATTGTTGAAACTATTCACATGAGGACAAACTTTCGAGTAGTTTTTCAACTTTATCTAATTCCAGAGTTAATCATATTTCAATTGAAGGTAAGTACTCTCGCCATTCCAACTTTATTGTTTTCTGTGTTTAATCTGGGTGTTCATTATACCAGGATTCTCACACAAGAAGTATGTACACAGCTGGGTGTGAGTAGCAAGTTATCAGTTATTCCACAAGCAAGGCACTTGAAGGTTAAGTCACAACATATATTTCAATATTGTACTTGAACTCAAATACTCCATATCTACCCTTAAATTCTGCATTTTGTAGTTCTTCTCAACTGATAAGAGATACTGAGCAGCTCAAGCCTGATTTTAAGAGCAAAGTCCACCTCAACTTTCACTCTTATATTTGGCCTTCTCCTTTTCTCTAAAACTTGGTATTCCTTGGCTTTTTCTAACACTGATACTCAAGTTGCATCTGAGTTGTAGCCAAGAATTGCACCCCTTTTTCCCACAGGTAGTGCAACACTCCAGCACTGCCACCACCCAGAGAGAAGAATCATGAGAATGTTTATGCTGCTTTAGTGAAACCCTGACTTCATTCCCCTTGGAAACCTTAACAGTGATAGTTCATAACATTGTTGTACATGTCGAGTTTGACACTCAGATTGTGCTAAACCCCCGGTTTTTCAGGGCTGTAGTACAACTGTGCCAGGTCAGAAAGCTGTGCTAGAGTGTCCTGGTCACCTTTCCAGCAGAGGGACTCCTTGTTTGTCACAGCTCTCCTGTGCCACTTCCTTTTCCTCATTCTTCATTATGGTGTGAGTAAAATGCTTTCCATCAAAACAGGGAGAAGAATCGAGTTCTTTGGCAATGTCCAATTCAGGCTGATTTTTGACAGTTCTAGCTGTATTCTAGGCTTCCCAACCTCATAGGTAGAAAGGGAATTGTCCCCACAGCCTCTTCCATGCTGCTTGGGAAGCAGGAAGAGCAACCTGGCCTAGACTGTGTGTTAACTACTTGTAGAATATATTGGGAAACACAAACCCTTCATTTGCAGCATCTTCCATGACCCTAAACACCAGCATTCAATACTGAAGCTATTCACAGATTTAGCCTGGTCCCAGAAGCTTGCCTTTCCCAGGAAACATTACCCTCTGAACAGTCAGCATACATGACTTGGGAGTGCTGAAGCTTCTGGATACCAATTGCATTTTAAGTTGCTGTACATATTGTAAGATGTCTCTTATCAGGAGGAAGCCATTTAATAATACCTAATAAAAATAATAGCATAGCAACCACCTTTTACATGTCATTGGGTTTTTTAGGTGAAAGGTTGTACTTGACAGATAAGAAAGAAATTAAGAGGCCCTGCTTACCATGCTTCTGCATCTGCATTTTTGACAGCAGTGAGCCACATGTGCTTTTTGTCTGCTGTTACTGTAACAGAGGCACTCTGTTAAATAACAGACTGTCCATGAATTAGGCACTCACATGCTGTGCTGCAGGAGTCTGTGCAAATCAGATTATCTGAACGACAAATCGCTTGGTTTATGCATTTTCAGAATTCAGAGTAGCAATCCTGAAGTACAGACACACATCAGATGTGTTACCTTACACATTACACCAAATCCTAGTCACATAACTGGCTTCCCTGCGTGGGCACAGGGATCCATCTGAATTCCACTGCCAGATCAGAAACCTCTCACTTCAAACCTTTCTTTATTTTTATCTCAGTTTTAAAATCCTTTAAAATACCAAACTAAATGTTTTCAATCCAGCTGAAACCTCTAAACAGCAACCTCCAGCACATCTTGGAGCCTGCCTGTCCATGCTGCCCTTATTCAACTTACTCACCTTTATATAATCCTAAATTCTGCCCTGGTTAGATACCCAGTTGTTTTGTGCCAACATTAAACACTTCTCCTGCAGACAGGCTGTCTCATTTCAATTTTTATTTTATTCCTCTAAAATGCACAGGATAAGATCTACGTGGAATTAAAATTAGACACTCACTTGTTTCAAAAGTATATTCCCCATTAACTGAGAAGCAATTAGTAAGAGTGGAGCAGCCAGTCCTCACTTTAACATCAAGGACTGCCAAACATGGAAGATATCTCCTGATCCTCTGGAAGAAGCTGAGTCAGCATGGAGATGCAGAGTGATTTCTGCCCTGTGGGGCCTGTGAATCTCAGAGTTAGTTGCTGTGGGAAAATTCCATGGGGTAAAACTGGGAGCTTTTTATGTACAAAATACGGAGCCAGTGAGCTGAATGTAGCTTTGCTGAGCTGAATTTTGATGGCACCCTGCTTCTGAAACTTGTCACCAGCACAAGAGGAGCCCGCCTCCAGTCTCTCTCTAACAGAGTTTAGAAAGATACTTCCACTACTCTAAACTTCATATGAACACTCTACATACACTTCTGACATTAAAATGGTCAAATCTGAAGGCAATGCTACTTCTTTTGAGATCAAGAAAAATATTTGAAGTCAGTGGAATAATACTGATTTCCATGACACAGCAATCTGGCCCATAAGCACATCAAATGTTATCGGCTTTGACAACATACAGTTTTGAGAAAAGCCGTTTTAAATTATAACACTCTCCAAGGCAGAGCTGTCCAGAAGTAAACAGAGCTGTTCCTTGACAGTCAAGAATTTAAGGCAGCAGACACTGAAGTGTCCTGCCACCCAAATCCTTCAACTCTGCCTGGCATTTGTCAACGTGGGCATGGTCTGACAGGATTAACATCACCCGATTTCCGATCTCATTACAACGAGACAATCTGCAGGATCAGATGCACTTCTTGCCCAATGCCCTCAGTCAGCTGCTTTTACCACTGAGGTAAAAGTTATGCAGGAAGGAAAACACTGAGCAGATGGGTGTGTTTACACAGCAGTTAAACTGTGTGTGCAGAAGCACCACTTACAATATTTCTGGGAAGCAGTGTAGTCAGGAAAGGATAAAAGCATATTAGAATTAATAATGACATCAGGCAGGTCAATCATATATGAGTTTTTCAGGCTGTGATTGGAATTTTTTTTCCCAATTTTTGTCTTCCATAGCCAATGCCAAGAAGCTGTATAAAAATTTCTTGACTTACAAAGTATTTTGAAAAGCTGTAGTTTTTACTGAATATGTGAAAAACACTAAGAATATGTAACCATAGAATGTTAGACCAAGATTTAAAGAGATCAAACTCCAAAATACAACCCAGTTATATAAGTAAAGACAAGAGATGGCAACTTAGAAAGACACATTTACAAAATATTAGATTTTTCTGTTTATGAAAGAAAATGAGTGTTCAGATTACTCAGAAACTAGAAAACATCAGTGAACACAGAAGAGTCATCTTGAAAAATACATTTGGCACATAAGTTATTATATGCTCTCAGATGAACTAAAAAAAAAAAAAAAAAAAGAAAGATTCTTTCCAGTTCCCTAACCTGAAATAGATAGATGGGTCCTTTCTGAGGTTTTGCAGCATAGAGTGATGAAGACCAGCTCTGAACAGGACTTAAGTTTTAAGATTTCCCACTTCAGGAGGACTGGATCACAAAGATTGTGCACAATTAACTTGACTGTCAGCCAGTGCACCAGATCAGACACTCCTGGTTTGTAGGGACAGTCCACAATAAGCTGAAAAGCAAACCTCAACTCATAATCCTGCTGTTTAAATGGAGACCAGAGAGGAGTGATCTGGAAGTTGGCCATATTGCCCTACAGTCCTAATGCTGGCCCACAAATGGACATTGCTGCAAACCCTTGGCAAGCTTTGTGCTCATGTAGAGGCAAGGAATAACTAAGGAGGGGAAACAATGGCTCTGCAAATGCACTGAGATTTTCAGGAAGCAGGAAATGGCAAAGGGCCTGTTTAGATCTTTGTGGTTCCTTAAGAACAGCTGAAGAGGCTTTATCCTCCCTTCCAGGCAATCCCCCGTGTTCAGGGAACCCTGGCACTGGCAATCCCAGGGGGCTGAAGTCCTGTTCCAGAGAGGCCTTTACCAGAAGGAAACAACCCCTCTACCAACCACCTGATGCAAAATTAACAAATAGCAATCCTTCCCTGCTGGGCACACACATGGATTACACACTGCAGAACTTTATGACTTCATAAACTAGTGAACTAAGTCAATATATTGGTAGCACACCATCTAATCTCAACTGTCATTTTGGTTTGATTATAATATTGTTCATGTTAAGTTTACAGCAGTTGAACCCATGTGATATGCCTCTGTGATGCTAATATTTACCTTTATCATTTAAAATAATAAAATATGGAAAAGCACACAGAACTAGATTGTGCCTTCATATTTAACAGCCCCTTGCAAGTCTCTCATGTAATACAAGTTAGGACTTCTAAAAACAAAGGCCATGATGAGAATAGGTCACCCCTTGTCAAGAAAGATGAATTAAAATGTATCCACTAACATGATCAGAGGACAGGTGAGCATATTTTACAGGAGAACAATAGAAGAGCTTGGCTAGCAAACTGAAGGATGTTAGGATACAGGTTAGTTCTTACAGCTCCTTTTTTGGGGCAGTTAATTCCAAAACCAGAGCTTATACTCATCTCCATTTTTGTAATTTAGATGTGATTATTTTGGAGGATATTAGTTCATCTTAAAAAAAACCAAACCACAAGACTTAGCAATTTTTATAACGTAAAACTAGAGTTTGAAATATTTGGCATAGACTCTTCTTACATACTCATCAATCCTGAACAAGTTTGTGATATCCTGTGGTTGCCTCTCCTACACTGGGAGCTCAGATTTGCCCCTAAATTGCAGTCCTTAACCATGAAAACTTCCTGTTCTCTGCTCCATGAGGAATGCTGGATGTGCACTTTCCTGGAAGACACCTATAAATAACACCTTTTCTAATGCAAACAGAAACCCTCCAG